CATGCAGCAGCAGCAGCACAGCCGGGACGCGAGGGCACAGGAAAGAAGCACGCCGCGCCGCACCGTCCCCTGCGGCAGCCTCCCGGGTCTTACACCATGCCATATACCGTACCGCTACCACCGTACCGCTACCACCGTACCGCAGCGTAACAGGCCCCCCCCCGCAGCTCACCGCGTCAAACAGGATGGCGGGGTGGCCCACGCCCAGGCCCGGGATGAAGGCGTAGCGCAGGAAGCGCACGGCGAGGCGTGCAGAGGCGGCCGAGGCGTTGGCGGCGGCGGCGGCCGCCACGCTGGCGTCGTCAAATTCCACCAGCGCCGCCAGGTCGCACAGGATGTCGTTATTCACCCGCATGATGCTCAGCAGCTTGTTGTTGCCTGCGGGGAAGGAAGGGCGAGGGAGGCGGGTGGCGGGTGTGTGTGCATGTGTGCGTGTGCCTGGAGGTGTGTACACTGCGGGGCCAGTGGGCATGCATGCACGGCCCTGCCCCTGCATGCAGGCATGCGTGCCGTGGCAGGCGCGCCACCGCCAGCCGGCCCCTCCACCCGCACACGCTGCTGCCCCCCACCTCCATGCTTGTCCTGCAGCCGCGTCACCACCCCCTCCATCCAGTACAGGCTGCCAAAGCCCGCCTCCCACGCGCTGCTGGTGTCCAGCCCCGGCACATCAAACCCGATGATGGACTTGCGCACCTGCAGGCGGCCGGGGCGGGGCGGGGGCAGGGCAGAAGTGAGGGCAGGCAGGCAGGGCGGGGGCAGGGCAGAAGTGAGGGCAGGCAGGCAGGGCGGGGCCGTGGGTGTTGTATGCCATGCAAGAGATGCCCCAGAGGTGGCGGGGAGGGCGAGGGCTGAGGGCAGGCAGGTGCGGCACGGCAGCGGGAGGGCCTCCATGTGGCCGGCACCTCGCGGCGCCCGCTGCTTCAGGCAGCCGCGCAAGCGGCGGCGCGCCGGCCAGCACGCAGCGCTCCCGGCAGCAGCGCATGGGTCCAGCGGTCGCTGCCGCGCGAGCCAGCTGGAGCCCCCCCGTGCCCTGCTCTCACGCTAGAGTCCCCGCGGAAGGCGGCGTCAAACAGGGCCCGCATCTCGTGGCTATACATGCTGGCTGGGTTGCCCACCCCCTCGCTCAGATGCCAGGCCTCGGGGTCACGCAGGTCTGCGCTTGAGGCAGGCAGGCAGGCAGGCAGGCAGGCAGGCAGCGGGCGCTGTGAACAGCTGCGCCACAAATCACGACACATGGCACAGGGGAGGCGGGCAGGCGGGCAGGCAAGCGGCAGGCGGGCAGGCAAGCGCGCGGCGCATGCCGCTGTCGTGTGTCATGCATGCGGGGGGTGCAGCGGGCGCACCCGCCGTCTCATCCGCGTTCATGGCCGTAGCCACCCAGTCCACGCCGCCGTAAATTTGGGCGCCTGCAGGGCACAATGCCACACACAGCGGCAGGTCGGGGGGTCATCAGAGGCAGCGCCCTCCGGAGACGCTTTGCGGCGGCGGCGGCGGCAGTGGCAGCGGCGGGTGCGCAGTGGCTGGGCGGTGCCGGATGCCCAGGGCTGGCAGGGGCGAGGGGCTCACCCGACGCGACCTGCAGCGTGCTCTGCGCCGCCAGCGAAAGCGGCTCCTTCTGCCAGAACATGTTGAAGCGCTCGAGGCGGGCGCTGCAGGGGGCGCGGCACACACGCGGCTGTGGGCGCTGGGGTGCCAGCAGGCCAGGGGACCCCGGCCACGGCTGGGACGCCAGCGCCGCGTGGCATGCACACCAGCGCTGCCCGGCAGGTGTGGTTCAGGGTGGCCGCTGCTCTGTGCAGCCCCATACTGAACGGAAGCGCACCTGATGCGCTTGGCCGCCGCGTCGATCTTGGCTATCCTGAAGAACAGGGCCTTGTCGCCGTACGGCACCTGCGCCCAGGCAGGCAAGCAGGCAGGCGGTGGGTCAGGCAGGCGCGCGCCCGCAAGAGACCAGCTGCCCTCCCGTCCCGATCCCACGCCGCCGCTGCCCGGCAGCGCCCCCGGGCCAAGTTGCCCCTCCAACCCCACCCCTGCCTCTCCTGTCCCCCAGCCTCCTCCCGGCACCTTGACCAGGGTGTAGAGTATGAAGCCTGCCGTGCTTTCCACATCCAGCTCCAGCACGGGCTGGTGCTCCCAGGTGGGGCATCCACGCCGCCCTTGATCTCCACAACCACCGCCTGCACACACCACGCGCGGCCCTGGCTCAGCACGCGGCCCGCGCTCCACACGCACGCCTCAATGCTCCCAGCAAGCCACCAAGCCGCCTGGCTGCCACCGCTGCAAGGCAGCGGCGGGCGCCCGCTTGCGCGCCGCGCCTTGGTGAGCTTGGTGGAGGCTAGCGGCTCTGCCATGCTGGGGATCACTTCAAAAGCCTTGGTGACGCGCCCGCCAGACACATCCACCCCGGTGTTGGCGCTGGCGGGAGCAAGGGAGGCGAGGAGGCGGGAGGAGCGGGGCGGGGCAAGCGTCAGGGCTGGGCGGCAGCAGCCGGGGCGGCTTGCCGTGAGGCAACGAGGGATCACTGGGACCGCAGCCGGGCCAGGTGGGTGGCTGCCCCGCCCCCCGCCGAGCCTGCCTGCCTTAGGCAGGCTCGCCCCGCCTGCCTGCCACCTGAGCCCACCTGACCACGCTGAGTCCCTTTGTGAGCTTGGTGGGCACAGACCAGCTGGCGCCTGCAGGCCCGCGGCACGCCACGCGGCGGCACCGGCTGGCGTCAGCGACAGCCACAGCCCCAGGCCACGCCACAGCCACACAGGGCCAGGCAGCACGCGCCCCCCGGCTGCCACCCATGCCCATCCATGCACGCCCATCCATGCACGCACAGCCGCACATCCACACAGGCACACAGCGGCACACCCGCGCCCTCCCCGCTCCCCCCCCCCCCACCACCCCACCCTTGTCGTCCAGCATCTTTGAGATGACCAGGTTGTTGTTGTGGCTGAAGTGGCGCTCTGTGCCCATGAGGTAGGTGCCGCTGGCGCAGCTGAAGATCTGCGGGGCCGACGACGGCACCACACAAGGGTATTTAAGATGTGCTTCAACCAGGCTGCGGGCGTGCAGCCGCAAACTTCCGAACAGGCGAGCAGCGCGGCACGGGGAGGGAAAGGCGGAGGCGGGGGCCGGCAGGGCGGGGCGGCTATGGAGCGCCCGGCAAGGCGCGTGGCAGCAGGCGCCAGGCCCCCCTGCCGCGGCCCACAGGCACGGCCTCGGCCCCAGCAGGCAGGCGTGGCACGCCGCGCGGCCCGCGCGCCCCGCGTGCATGCGGCGGCGCGCCTGCGGCCAGTTCATGGGCCCCACGACGGCGGCGCGCTGCCAGGAGGAGCCGCCGTCCTCCGAGGAGTAGATGAGCTTCATGGTGGTCTCCTTGGTCTGACCCCACGTCACAGCCCTGCACCGCGCCGCGCCGGGGCCGGGCAGCGCAGAGGCTGGGCCAGAGGGCGGGGCCGCGCGCACGCAACAGCACAGCACAGCACAGCACGGGCGGCGCCAGCATGCCGTGCCCGCGCGGCGGCAGCGCAGCGAGGGGGGCAGGAGGGGAGTGGCGCCGAGAGGCAGCCAGGGTGCCAGCCAGCGGCACGAGCCCGGCCTGCACGCGCGCCCGCCGCCTCACCTCTCTAGCGCCACCAGCAGCCGGCCGCCGGGCAGCCTGACCAGGCTGGGGCTGGCCACGTATTGCCCCTTGCTATCGATACGCACTGCACTCGCGCAGGCAGCGCACGGGCAGCCGACTGTCAGCATCTCGGCGGCAGCAGCGGGCGCACACGCATGTGTGCATCACACCGCTGCTCGCATGCCATTGGCTGGCAGTGGCCGCGCACGAAGGAGCTCCACAGCTCCACCCCTGCAGCAAGCGCATGTGCAGGCAGCGGCACGCCAGCGGCAGCCCAGCCGCCCACCTATGGCCGCCGCCGGCTGCTCCGAGATGCGGTCTGCCGGTGAGAACTGGCTGTTGTGCCTGTTCAGGTCAAACTTGATGTCCTCCGCCACCTCAGACAGATTGGCCAGCTGCCTCACCCGCACCTCCATGCTGCCCTGCAGCTCCTCCAGCTGCACCCGGGAGGGGGCGGGACAGGCGGGACGGGGCGGCGGTGTGCACGCCAGCGGCAGCGCACGTGTGTGTGTGTGTGCGCCAGCGACGGGCCCGCAGATGGCACAGCAAAGCTGCCTGCTGCGAGGTGGCAGAGAATTCAGGCCACAAGCAGCACCGCCGCAACCGAGCGGTCAGGCTGCAGCGCGCGCCTGCGTTTTGACTTCATCCAAGTAAGTGCGGGCTGTGTCACGCTCCACCTTGACCTCTTCTAGTGACTGCTGCAGAGCTTGCAGCACCTGCACATGCTTGGGAGACAGGCCGCAGCGGGTCGGTTGAGCCGAGCCGGCCCGTCGGCAGGTCACACGGGGCGCCTGCTCATTGCGGACTCCGCATCGCACTGGGCACGGCATCGGGCGATGTGTTGGTGGCTGCCGCTGAGCTCAGTCTTCTGTCTGGGGCCCTCCGGCGCCACCCCAACCGATGCCCCGCTCGCTGCCGCATCGCTGCCGCACCCCGCTGCCACTGCACGGAGGGGGCTGGCTGGCACAGCGGGCCCCAAAAGATGCAGGACACCCCTGCAAGCCCACCCACCTGCTGCTGGCTGCGGGTGATCGAGGCCACGGAGCGGTAGAGCAGCATCGGCGACGCCGCCAGCAGGCAGACGCCCACCAGGGCGGCCAGCACGCCCACAGGCCCCTTCCCCTGCGCCCGCGCCGTTCTGTGGTCCACCATGTCCTCCGGGGCGGCGCCCCCCGCCGGCAGACCCCCGCTGATAGCCAACAACTGCGCCTCGATCGAGTGGGCGGTCTGACGCTAACCGCTCCTTGGGGCAAGCTAGCAATGCGGCAGCGCGCTGCTCAAGACACTCAATGCGCACATCAGGCGTGCAAGGGATAACGTGGGAGCGGCCGCGAGGGACAAGTTGCAGTACGACTTTGAGTCAAGAGCTCAGCCCTCATGCCAGCAGGGCAAACATTCGCCAGCCCATTGGGCTGTGCATTGTGTATCGGCGGCGAAAGCACACAACCGCCACCAACCCCTGCCAGGTGGTGACCTGTGACAACAGGTTTGAACCCAGGCATCGCCAATTGCTGGTCGGAAGGCCCCAGGAGTGACAAAGGGAACACGCAGATGCAGTGGGCATTGCCGCTGCATGCGAACCAGCCCAAGCTGCAGTGCCCGCCCCGCGGCTCAGTGCCGCGTCCTCCTCGCCGTCTCCTGCATTTGGCACGCGTTGGCGATCCCTGGTGCTACAGCATGTGGGTGCAGCCAGGGCATTGCTGCTGCCCTCTGGCAACGGTCATTGCCACCGCTGCCGCCACGCCATGCCTCTCCCTGCGACGTGCGGCGAACAGTACTGGGCGCGGCGGACTGGGGAGCTGCACAGTTCCCGCTCCTGATTGATTGCTACAGGCCGCATGATGTGCCTACTGGCTCCAAGCAGTCAACTGGGGCAATGCACAATGAGACTCAACGCCTGCAGGATGGGGGGCTTGTTCGCGGACTTAACAAGGCGCCGCGGCGGCAGGTTCTCTGTTTTCCTGTTCTCCTCCTCTGCAAGCCTCCCGGATTTGTGTCCCTGATGCCCAATGGTGCGGCACAGCCCCCAAATTCTCCCGCTGGGCGCCCTCTGCCTTCCAAACGAAGCGGAGCCAGAGCGCAGCACAGCACGTGGCAAGTCAGCTTGTTCATGCCCCCAGGCGATTCAGCCGCACTTTCACCGGGGCATTGATCGCTCGTACTGTGAGGTGGGGGCGCCGGGGCGAGGCGCGGCCAACCGATCGCAGGGCACACCGGCATCCCCAAGTGAACACGCTCTTTTCCTCGCCCCAGACAGCAGTCCCTGCATGCCCGAACGTCCATCTGATCAGGTGAGGCGGGCCGAGCCCCGCTGTTGGGCCCAGACGCCTGGGGGCGGTGCGGGGGCAACTGAGGTTGCCGCACTACAGAGAACACTGGGCGCGGGGCCACAGGCGGCCAATTCTGAGTCCCTGGGCATGCGAGAGCGGGCTGAGAGGGCCGGAACCGGGGCCCTATGCGCCAACGCGGTCTGCATGGCTTACCACCCATGCAAGGCCCCCATGGTTGAAACTGTCGGCCCCAACCGGCCTAATTGCCCGACCTCCTGGTGCAGGCTGGAGTCCTGGTGAAGCAGGCGCACGGGCGGCGCGCAGAGGCCTAGGCAGCGGGCACCAGCTGGCGGTGGCGGTAGCACCATGCCACCAGTACAGCAGCCGTTGCTGCCCGTGCAGCAAGGCAGCCCGGCCCCCAGCGGGCCGGGCGCGCCCTCGCGGCGCCCCGGCAGCCAGCAGCCCAGCCCAGCCAAGGAGCTGGTGGTGGCGGTGCAGCACGGCGATGTGGGAGGGGTGCTCAGGGCCGCCTCCTGGGCCTGCCTGCGCTCCCCCTTGCTGCTGGCCGCGGTCGTGGCGCTGCTGATGGGCGCGGTGGGGCTGGCGGCCTGGCTGCTGCCGCAGCAGCCGCTGCCCGGCGTGCTGCAGCACGTTACGTTACGGCAAGCAAGTGAGTGGGCTGTCTGACGCTAAGTGGCATATGCCTCAGTACGTACTGCACGCTATGCCGCCTGCACCTCACACCCCCCGCCCGCCTCGCGCTGCACCTCTGGCTGGCCTGCTGCTCACCCTTCCCCCTGCCACGCGCCCCTCTGCTCCCTGCAGGCCCTCGGCAGCGTGCCTTCTTTGAGGAGCTGACCCGAGAGGAGCAGCAGCTCATAGTGCAGCCGCCCAGGGGCAAGCCGCCGGGGCGGCATAGAAAGCGGCAGCAGCCCAGCCGCGAAGAAATGCTAGACTCCTTGATATTCCCGCACGGGCACAGCGAACAGGGGCAGCGGCAGGGCACGGCCCAGGATGCGCCCGACCAGAACTCGCAGAACAAGCAGCAGCAGCAAGCAGCCCACCAGCCCAAAGGCGATGGCGCTGCCGGCGACTTCAACAGCAGCGACGTGTTCAACATCCACGAAATAGCAAAGGTGCCGCCGCTGTTTGGCGGCGGCCAGCAGTAGCGCCGGCTGCGCGCGGCGCAGCATGCCACGACCGCCCGCTTGTCGGGGCGCGCATGGTGGCATCCTCGCCCGTGCTCACAGCACACGCAGCCAAATCGTCCTGCTGGCTGCCGCCTCGCCTGGCAGCACGCACCCTAGTCCAACTCGCTATGCTGCTCCTCCCCCGCTCCTGCTCGCCCTGTTCATATGCTAACTGCCTCCCCCTCCTGCTTTTCTTCATACATCACGTTTTATTGTTGTGCTGCTCCCGCGCTCCCCATAGCATAGCTTGCGCAGCTGCCGCTGGTGAAGCTTCACCAGCTGCAGCGGTAGGTAGCCAGCACCCCTCCCGGCAGCGCACGCTCGCAGTGCGGCGCCCGCCCCTCCTGTGCCCTCCTTGGACCAATCGTCGCTTTGCTCTAGTTACGCTCCCTGGCTCCTCTGCTTACATACACATCCTTTTCTCACATTTGTTCTCGAGACAATTTTGCTCGAGTATGTATGCCTGCTTGCACTCCCACGTTGCAGCAAACCATATGCATGTAATTGCACTTGCAATAAAGTTGCTGGCACCTGGTGATCGCTACTCGGCAGCAGCCGCTGTGTGCAAATGTTCAAGCGTGGTGTGCCGTGCAGCACCCCACCCTCGGCACCACGGTCAAAGTCGGCATGGCGGGTGGGCATGTTTGGGGATGGGAGCCGGGTGCACTGCACTGCCTGCCTTGTGGGATGGCACGGACTCGTGCTGCTCTGATCTGTCTTCTCTCTGTCGCGTTTGGCCCAGCTCGGGCTGCTGAGGTGGGCCACGCTGGCTGGGAAAGACTCGGGGATCTCCGTCGGCTGCTGCCAGAATCCTGTCGTCACCTGCCACTGCTGCTCAAGTGCTGCTAGCCAAGACCCGCAAGCCCCTCCCTTAGTGGCGACTGCGGGCCCGCCCTGCACGCAGCGCCTGCCCCGGCGCACTTGGCTGCTGGCAACCGTGTGATCGAGGTCCCTGCAGGGCGGCGGCCCCTCTTTCACGTCATGCAGTGAGGTGCCACTCAGCAGGCGTCCTTGGCGGCAGGCAGGCAGCACAGGTCTCCCCAGCCGCTGCCTGGCCACCTGCCGGGGCGCTGCGGCCATGACGGGCGAGCATGGCTTCGGGCGCCAGGGCAACCTCGTGTCTCGGGTCAGTTTCGAGCCCCTGAGCGATGCCGCCGCGCTCTGTGGCAACGGCAGCCTGAGCCGGGATGGCAGCGGCGTGTCTGTGGACTCGGCGAGCGAGTACGACAGCTGGAGGGTGAGTGCGGGCGGGGCGGGTGGAGCGGGCCTCGCCGCACCGCGCACAGGCTGCCTCAGCCAGCTGCGGGCGACTTGCACTGCCAGCAGCGAGGCAATTGCCCGCCTTTGGGAGCCGCCGCCGCATGCAGCAGGGCGGGTGTGAAGCGCGGGCCGCGGGGCAGGCCACCCCTCGCCCACGCCGCCGCTGTGCGAGCGCCCGCCGCCGCGCGCTGCCCTCCTGCCACGCCGCGCCGCAGGATGAGCACCCCTGCGCGCTGCACCACTTTGACCAGATAGCGGCGCGCGCCGCCGGCAAGCTGGTGGCGGTGTTTCTGGACTACGACGGTGCGCAGAGGAGGGGCGGGCAGGGCGGGCGGGCGGGCGCGCCGGCCGGCGCCAGTGGCGGCCAGTGGGGGCTCGCCTTGCGGGGCGGTGGCGCCTCGCACCATGCGCTCGCCCTGCCTGCGCTGCCGAGCTGGCCCCGCGGAGCCGAGTTTTCTGCCTGCGCCGCCGCTGCCGACACGCGCCCGTGCGTCTGTCCCTTCACCGCGCCCCGCCGCCGCCGCGTGGCGCCCGCGCAGGCACGCTGACGCCCATCGTGTCCAACCCCGACCTGGCGCTGATGTCGGAGCAGGCGCGCGAGGCGGTGCGCCGGGTGGCCCAGCTCTTCCCCACCGCCGTCATCTCGGGGCGGGGCCGCGAGAAGGTACAGCAGTTTGTGCGGCTGGGCGAGCTGTACTACGCGGGCAGCCACGGCATGGACATCGTGGGGCCCGCCGCGGAGGGCGCCCCCCACGCCGACCTCGCGTTCCAGCCCGCGGCGCAGTACGCCCCGCTCATGGACGGCGTGTACTGCCAGCTGTGCGCCGGGGTGGCCCCCATCCCCGGCTCCTCGGTGGAGCACAACAAGTTCTGTGTGTCGGTGCACTTCCGCAACTGCGCGCCAGAGGACTACCCGGCGGGTGAGTGCGGGCTGGGTGTGGGTGTGGGTGTGGGTGTTGGGAGTGGGGGTGGAGGGATGCCCCTGGTGTGTGGTGGTGGTGTGTTGTGGCGTGTGGGTGGTGGGGTGTGGGGGGTGCGGCATGGCGCGAAGAAAAAGAGCGCGGCGCACGCGCAGGCTGTTGCCCGCAGCCGCCGCGCCTCGCCTGCACCAACCTGCCACCCCCCTTCCGCCCCTCCCCCGCCCGCAGTGGTGGCGGTGGTGGACGGCGTGGCGGCTGCGCACCCCGAGCTGCGCGTCACGCGGGGGCGCAAGGTGCTCGAGGTGCGGCCGCAGGTGGACTGGGACAAGGGCACCGCGCTGGCGCACCTGCTGGAGATGCTGGGCCTGGCCGACCCCGCAGCCGTCTTCTGCCTCTACATCGGCGACGACCGCACGGACGAGGACGCGTTCAAGGGTGGGGGCGGGGGCGGGGGGCAGGCGTGGGGGCTGGGAGCCGCCTGGGGGCACCCCCGTGCGCGTGTTTGCGTGTGTGGGTGTGTGTGGTGCGTGGGGGACGGCAAGGTGGGGCATCGAGCGGCTAGGCAGGGGGCCGAGGGGGGCGCTGGAGCGGCGGCGGCGGCGCCCACGCGTGCTGCCTTGCCTGCCTGCCTGCCTGCCAGCGAGGCGCGCGCGGCTCCAGCAGCGGCGGCGGCTGCTGGCTTCGGGCGCGCCTCGGGCTGCTGCCGCGCCGACGGCCGCCGGCTGCTGCGCCGCTCGGCCCCCGCTGCTGCAGTGCTGGCGGAGCGGCGCCTAGGCGGCGGCATCCTTGTGTCCACCAAAGCCAAGCCCACGGCGGGGCTGTGGACGCTGCGGGACCCCACGGGTGAGCCACGCGTCGCGGGCGGCGCCGCGGCTGGCCGGCACGGCACACACACACGCCTGCGCTGCGCTCCAGCTGCACCCGGCACCTGCGTGCCTGTGCCTGTGCTGCCGCCCGCGCCTTGGCCCGGGCCCCCACACTGAGAGGCCCCCTCGACTCTTGCTTCCGCCTGCCCGCGCCGCGGCGGCCGCGCGATCTGCCCTGCCCACATCCCTGCCCGCCTGCCTGCCTTGTGTGCCGCCGCCCGCTGCAGAGGTGGCCGCTTTCCTCAACCGCCTGGTGGCGTGGGGACAGAC